ATAAACAAACAGAAAGAAAACGAGCGTTTTAAATCATATTTTTAAATTATTTAATGTAAAATACAAGCTTTTCACCTCAAATTAGTAGCGGATTGCCCCCGTACGTCGTACTGTTCTTTTAACAATACAGCCGTGCCGGTCGTCTACCTAACACATTTCGGGGGAAAATTTTTGAATGGGAATAATACGACTTGTGGTTTGCGTATAGCCAATCGGGGCCTCCTACCTCTAAGGTTTTTATATCTGGTCTCGTCTTTCATCCGTCTAACTCCATTGTTGAAATTAAAGAAAGTTGGACGGACAGTTGACAGTGGGAATTTATAGGTGTAAATTTTTCAAATCGCTGTCCAATTAAAATTTAAATCTATAATCATATTTTAAAAATAATTTTTTAAATCTACTAAGCTGGCAAGCGGAGTATCGGTATAAAATACCAGAAACGTTTTTTCCCCGGCAGAATAATTTCTTTGATTAATAAACGAGTAAAAACACTTTTTTGGTCGATGTTCCAAAATGTGAAAATCGCCGACGAAGGCAGCCAAAAACATTACTGGTTTATTAATCGAAGAAATCTACTGGAGAAACAAAGATTTGTGGGTGTATAAAATTTACAAAAATTAACTAACCATCGAGAGTTAGAGTAAGAAGTTAACCGATTTCCATTGGCTTTGTTTTTAGTACAAGAGCACTCGTTGATTGCAGTTGCCAATACGGCCGTTAGAGTGTCTCAAACACCCAAGTGCTAGTTTTGATCTAGAATAAAATGAACATTTCAAATTAACACTATTTTATATTAAAACACAATTGAAAAAATACATTTGTAATTCTAAAATATTTGAAAATGTTTCTACCAAGTAAAAGACTGGCAAATTTATCTCTTATCGTACGTAAACATTAGTAGTAGTGGTCGTACAAATGACATATTAAATATTACGCGTTTACATTAAATTTTACTTTGAAATTTGAATATTTTACGCAGTTAAACTAAACGAATTTAAAACAATGTAGAAATAATGTTATTTTCATTAGAAACTATTCAGCTAATTTAATCACTAACGAAGACGAATGGATCGATTCGTTAATTATCATTGACAGACAAATGAATAGGTATTTAATTAAATACGTTAAAACAGTGGTTCCCAAACTTTTCCGATTCTTGCGCCCTCGCTATATTCGGATTTTCTCGAGGCGCCCTATGTCAAATTCTAACAAGTATAATATGCGAAACAGCCAATATTCTTTTAATTAAAGAGTTAGGATGTTAAGTAAAAAATAAATAAAACAGGTATTTAAGGTAACAAAACACTGTAATTGAACAAATTCAATTAATTATAATTAGTGGGATGGACGAGCCCGTTGATCGCTGCACATTTTCTCGTACCTTGAAATCAAACTGGCCGCGGCCACTTTCATTTCCTTTTCCGCATTGATTTTCGTGCAATTCTTAGTTTTTATCACAGCCACGAACTCGGCTTCGCGAAAATAAGAAATCGCCAATGAAATTAAGATTCTCCGAGCTGTACCACTCGGAAGGGATATTCGTCTTTTACCGATATCCAAAGTTCAGTTAATTCCTCGCTGCTAAATTTTGTTTTCAATGTATTGTCGCCAGACAACTCGATAAGATTCTCTTCGTCTGCGGTAAATTCGGACGGAGCATTGGCATTAAATGGATCTCGAATCCGTGCAAATTTGTCGATATTATCATTTTGAAAATATTTCTCAAACCAGGTGATAAGCTGTGATAAATGTTCTTTAAAAATAGAGCTCGTACCTCGAGAGAAATCGACTCCATTGAAAGTCAAACACTGTTAAAACAAGGGAAAACATTCTTTTCTTCCGTCTTCATTTATTTTTATTTTCCAGTTTTAATTTTTTTTTATAAAAGCTGAAATTTTCTCAATCCACTTTAAAAGTTGCCCGTTGTTTCTCTGCAGGCAGAGATTCGGAGCATTCGGCTTTTCAAAAATATCACGAGTACGCTAGTTTTACCAAAAAATCTTCAATCAAAATTTTCGGCACACTTGTGGTTTCCTCTTTAAAAAATGTAAATTTCATGTCGCGGTTCAAATGTACGAGACAAAACATTACCTCGAGAGAGCCATGGCTCTCTCGAGGTAATGTTTTGTACTGTACTTTCTCAGTGCTGTAGTACAACAAAGACTCGTGCTCGGATCCCAAATCCTCGCAGTTTTTTTGAAAAATCTTGCCTTCAATGGCCATTTTTATAAAGTTTACTACATGTACTACATATTCTGGTTCGTTGCGGATATTTTGATGCCAGCGCTTCCCTGTGAATAATGCAATGGATCCACAGCGCATCGGGGTCTTTGCTTCGAAAAAGTGCTCGCAATCTACCGTAACATCCGGACATAGAACGAGCACCATCAGTAAAGATACTAATTCGTTTGGTCCACTCCAAATTATTTTCGGAAATAAAAATATCGAGGATCTCGAACGAGTCGCGAGCCTTAGCACCTGCACTATTTTTACAGAAGAGAAAGTATTCTACAAAGTTGTTATTATCTATAAACTGTACATAGCAAATCGAGTAAGCATCATCATTATTATCCGTGTCCTCAACTAGCTGCAACCCCGATTTCTTCCCTTCCATTTTTTCAATAACAGAGTATTGGAGGTCCTTCGCTATGCGCTGTATTCTGCCACCGATAGTGTTATTGGACGAAGGCACTTTCGAAAGTGCCTTCGTCCAATAACACTATCCCAGCAGACCCACCGATCGTAATGTTCACCGTATCTACAGCAGCCGATAGAACGAGTTTTTCTGCGATGGTACGAGGCATTTTACATTTTGCCACCTTTATTACCGAGTTAATGATTTGCATCCGGTCTGCTAGACGTCACATCTTATCGCATCGAATTGAAAGTGAAAGTAAAATTATGAAAATTTGATATTATTTCTCGCACACTTTGGGAACCGCTGCATTAAAATGTAATTTTTAATAACTAAGATTCAAACAAGTATAAAGTAGCATTTGAAAAAAAATTAAGACTTGAAAACTATCATTGCCGATATTTCATTCGCTAACATCGCATCATTTCTTCATTCGACTAGTTGTATCTGTAAATATTTTTAAGAAAAAATAATACATCACTCTTCTTATTCTTTTTAAAATTATTATTTAATGTCAACTTAATATAGTTATGTAAGTTATTAACTGAGCTTCCTTTTATAAATTTTGCGTTATTAAAACATCAATTTATACTTGACCATTTGCTATTACTATTTAAAATAATAATAGTATGTTTACCTGCCATTTGCCATTTACACCAGTGAGTTTATCGATATATACTTATATTTTCACACCATTGATTGGCTTTTATACATTTATTTTTAAACTTTACCAATGTAAAAGTATTTTATACTTATTATTCTTGTACCTCAGTGATCTTGTGTATATATATTTTGTTTGATTTTCTACTGTTTTAAATTTACATGGTTTCTTGGGTTGGGTTATACAGTGGTACTCAGGATACGAACGCCCCAGCATACGAAATATTCAGGATACGACATGAAATTCGAACATATTTTTGCTCCACGATACGAACAAAATCTCACCATACGACATTACATTAGTTCGCCGCGCCAGTTTTTTATTCACTTCTGTTCATCGGTCTCAGTCCGCGTGTTTGCTTCGTCGTGGAAGTATCTCGCTCGATAAAGGAAATCTTGAGGTATTATCAGAAAGTGTCTGATTTTATTGAAAAGAAACATCCCGAAAAGGTTTACACTGGCCGTATTGCTGCTTGGAGTAATGACAAAGTCATTTTAGAAACATTTTAAAAAGTAGGCAAAGCCAAACCTCTGGATAGATATTTTACCAAGCGACCTCTATCCAGTGAACGTGCTGACAGAAGTGAAGGAAAGCAAAAAGCAGTGAATAAAAATAAAAATATATAAAACAACACTAATTTTTTAAAATCTTTTCTAAGTTATTTTTAAGTTATTGTTACATTATGTTATGTAAGTTGTTTTAGTATCATTTCCCTTCTCCCTCTCCTTCCACCAATTTACACCTCCACCTCGTCTATCCTCAAAGGTAAAGTGCAAATAAAACTACATTTTTTTTTCAATCAATTATTATTATATTACGATTACTTATACATTTACAACTACAAAATGCATTTTTCAGTGTTTTCCTTACTATAGTTATTTTTTTAATGTATTACTTAGCTTTAATTTGAGTGTGTTTTTCGTGTTGGAACGAATTATTTGGTTTTACATGTAATCGTATGGGGAAAAATGATTCACCTTACGACATTTTCATGATACGATCTTAGTGGCAGAACGGATTAATTTCGTATCCTGAAGTACCACTGTATAGTTTAATGGGCTCAAACAATTAAACTATATACACCCTACCCCAACTTTTAAATAAATGTATATTTTTTAAGTTACTATAATCTATTATACTCCTACTTTTTAACAGGTATTATTACTACCATGCCATAATCTAATTAAATGACTGTCTTTTATTTAATTAATTTTATTTCTTTATTTTAGATAAATAGAAAGATGAAATTAAGAGAACAGTGGTGTGAAAAAATAGCCAAAATATTAATAACCAGTATCACCATTTCAGTACATTGGATCAGTTGGAGGTGAACTGAAGTATCTCCCATTTCATATATATTGTATATTATGCTAAAGAAACTTTTTTAATTTAAAAAAATATTCTTCCATACGTAATACTACATTTTAACAATAATCCTAATATTTGTTTATAAATTAAATTATTGTGTATTAATAAAAATGTTTTGTAAATTTTACATATTAATCTAAATATATATATTTCTAATCCATTTAATTCAAAAACTTTCAATTACACATTATTAAATTGCTATCAGTAGTTAAGATTTGAAGTTCCCAAAAATCATACACTAATTCAGAAATGTTTATTTACATATTTTGAACTAATTTTCACTTAAAATTATTATTATTATATATATATATATACACACACACACACATACAAGCAACTTATATTACAGAGACTCAAACAGAAAATTTAAAATTGAAGATAACTTTTAATGTTATAAAAAACATACATGACAATGTCACATTTTATAACAAAGAATTACTGGTGTACAAAAATTCTATCCTTACTCTTCTTTCAAATGATCATAAATGCAATAAATATTCTTGCCGACTGTCAATGTTTGGCAGATGAAATTATACAAATGAAGTGCCGCTTTATTTTTACCTTCCGATATTTTCTACGACTCCTCCGCCTTCTTTTCCGTGAAATAAGAAGAAATTCTTGATGGGATTATCTTTACAGGACACTGCCTACATTGTTTAAAAAGTTAAGATTTTATTGTCGATATAACAAATATATATATAATTATATATTGTTAAAAAATTCAATTTTAACATTTGACTTGAAATATAGTACGTACATATAAATATGATGTTTCTAAATTAGAGATCAGTTTTTAATTTTATTTGAATAAATTACATAAATGAAACTAACTTTTATCACTTCTTGTGCTAAAACACCCCCAACTACAGCAGAAACAGGACTTAATTCACCAAATACTTGCCTAAAAAATAATAAATATGTGAACTGAACAGATAGCTAAAATATTTTAATTCCTTAATTATTAAAAATCACCATCAACAGTAATTATAAAAAGAAATTATAAAGCACACTTACAGTATAGTTAAGAGAACAAAAAATATAAAATGAACTGTAACTAAAGAATTTTATGTATAATTAAAGAACTAAGAGAATAACAACAAAGGATTTCAGTTTGATTTCCTTTTTCCATTTCTAATCACAAGATGGTCATATATCAATATAATTTGTAACTACTCGTAACTACCATCAGAGGGCCCGAAGCAGTTAAAAAATGGATAAGGACAATGTGGTGAGAAGAATTCTTTGTGTTTTTAATGTAAAATCTATAACAGAATCTATAACAGAAGGCTGACACTTGATCGTTTTTAACATTGTGAACCTTTTTTTACTTATTGTTTACCTTTGTTTTAAGAAGTATATTCTTCAAAAAAAACCATGTTAACTGTTACTTCTGGGGTTGTATAAAAAAGGATTAAGATAGACTCAAAAATTTGATATTTTTTGTAAACAGTCTAAACTTCAATTATAAATTTATTAAATTTCAATCTCTGAAATTTAAAATAAAAATAATGCAATTATAATTTTTAAAATGTATATAGTAAAATTGGCATTCATATATACAAATAAAATAATAATCATTAATCAATTATCGAATAATACTAATTTTTTCAAGTCAAAATAAATATTTTATATTGATTAACACAAAGTAATATATCATATATAATTTAACATACTAACTTACAATAAAATATTATAACAAAACACTGAGCAATGTATATAAGAAAAAATAAATAAATTTTGTAACCTTAAGACCTTCTAAATTATATTTATCAAAGTGGTTACTCAGCCATCTTGCCATCAGAGATTGAAGATTAAATGATTGTGTTTCAGCTGTATTTTCTGATAGCATAGGCCAGTGATGGCAAACCTTTTTCTGAAAATGGGTCAAAACTGAATTCAAAATTTAACTCCAAATTGTGGGCAAAATATTTAATTTGAGTAATTACAAAATAAAAAAAGCATATAAATTTTACTTTATTTAATTTTTTTAATCTATATGATAATTAAATACTATTTGTTGTTTTTATTATATTCTGAATAACTTGGCATCCCATTTACACAATAAAATAACTCACTTATCTTCTAAATTGAGGATAGTAACTATCTTTTTATTTACTGAAACCATTTTGACTATGTATAAGTCATTTTCATTAGTCATTGCATAATAGAATAAATACAACTGACCTTTGGATGTATCTGGTAATTATATGAATCCAAATACAATATTTTATTACTTTTCTCAAGCAAATTATGAAATTTATGGGTTAACTTCAGTAAAAATATCACTTTCAACATGATCAATCAGTCAAAATCAATAATAAATAATTTCTATCATCATTTTAATTTTCTCCAAGCAAATGTTAACAATTTATATTATTATTATTATTATGTTGGGAGTAGTTGGTTATACTCGATTGACACCAGTTGCTGTGTACTATGCTGGACAAGTCAAGGCAAAGCAAACAAAAATTAAATAAGTGTGTCAGTGTTCAGGAATTTCCTAACAATCTGGCATGTATTCAATATAGTGGCCTTCTGTAGTGTGATGTATGTGTTTCTGTTCAATTGTAATGTTCCCAGGCTTTTTTGTAGTGTATGTGGTATCACACCTGTAGAGGAAGGAACAACAGGTACAATAAGCACCCCATCCATCCTCCACAGATGCCTTATTTCCTGGACGAGTTCTGTGTACTTGCTGATTTTTTCAGTGCGTGTTTTGTATATTGTGAGTGTTTGGATTGGCTATGTCTATAATGTATGTGATTTTATTGTGTGTCAATGAGTGTGATTGATGTCTGGTCTTTTGTGGTAAATCATTTTATCTGTGATTATGGCTCTATTGTAGTACATTTTGTGCATGTTGTTTTCCAATACTGTCTGTGGAATGTATTTGAAGTATGATTTGTTGATGTCTAATGATTTGTGTTTGCTTGCAAGTTTTTGGTGTATTATATTTGCTACTTGATTGTGTCTATGTAAGTAATCTGTCTGTGCCAAGAGCTCGCAACCAGAAGTGATATGTTGTATAGTTTCTGGCACGATGTGACACTTTCTACATGTGTCATTTGTGAGTGTTGTATCTTTGAGTATGTGTTTTCTGTAGTTTTCAGTATTTATGATCTGATTCTGTATGGCAATCATGAACACTTCCAACTGTCCAAAGGGGCATCCCCAAGCTAACCAGCTGTTTGATGCAGTTTTGTCAACAAAATCCTGGGCCAGGTCATAGAAATAAGTGCCTTTTGAGCCCATGATTGCTTAATGGTGTCTTGTCATGTCTTTAAATTTTATTAGTTCTTAACTATGAAATTATCTAGTGATAATATTATAATGTTAATAAATTTTTTTCCAGTAGTTCATCATAATTGTTACATTTCAAAATTAGAAAATGCTCACATTAAAACTTGATCTTCTAATCGTTTACTATCAATACTTAATTCTTTCATTACTTGATCTTTCAACTGTAGTAGTTTATTAATATCATCTTCACGACTCTGTATTTGTGGATATCGTTGATTAATTTCCCAAAACTTGAAAATTACTGAACAGAAAAAAAGGATTTTAATAAAATTAAAATTTAAGTTAATTATAAAAACATAAAATTGAAAATTTATACAACAGATATAACATTAGAATATTTAATATTTTCAATAAACTTATCTTTAGTTAAAATAATCTTAATATAAAACTCACAATTATAAATGGTAGAAAAAAAATTTAGCCATAAGTCTGAATAAACAGTTTCTAATGTAATATTGATGTAATTATTCAATGTATTATTTATAATAGGAACCATATTTTGGAATTTACAATAATTTGATATAAAATTTTTAATTTTATTAAAAAATATGGCTAAAAGTTTTGCTTTTGTCCACTTTTAAGATTAAAAAAAAACTGAGTGATATGCATTTTAAAATTAAATTAAATTAACCAGTAGAAGTATTGTACATTTTTCTTCAGAATATATATAAATGCAATATGATGTAATGTTGAAGTACAGCATGTTTCACAATCTTGACCAGATCTGCTATGATGTACGCTTAACATACCCACATAGATTTGTTCTTCCTAATATACAAGTTATATAAATTTTACAAGATACAAAGCATCTGTCATGTCACTGCTATATAATCTTTAAATATTCCTAAGTCTCATCCAGATAATGTGCAGCATGCATCCAGTATTTATGAAACACCTTGTAGTTTATCCTAAAACTGAAGGTAAAAACTACTTAAAATAGTATGAATAGTTCCAATATTTCAAAAAAGTATTTCCAAAGCAAGATGTGATCTATTATAACAGATTGATGATATATAAGAATATTAGTCTGTCTGTGGAAAGAATTAACTTGAGAGCAATGTCACACAATGGCACTTCAGTTAAACCAATCAGCACATTCTCTAACAATGCCAGCACTTCACTTTTTGCTTAATATATCAGGCAATGTGTGAATTTTATTTTCTCTCACTATGTGGTAAAATGACTTTTCCATTAATTAATTTTTACAGCATGCATTATCTGTGAAGAATCATGCATTTAACCATTACTACAGTGAACTTCCTCATATTCTGATACCAGAATGTGAAGCTTCCTAACTGTTTGTAATGGAGTGACACATTTAACAAGAAAATGTGTCACTCCAATGAATGAAGGCAACAAGAAAATGAGGAAGAAACAGAAAGTAAATTGCCACAAATAAGTAATCAATGGCTGATGCTCATTGGTTAATACCAAAGTTGATTATTTCCATAGAGTGTACGAACTTCAATGTTTGATGTTACTCTGAAAATTAATAAGCTTTATCACCAGCAATAACAAATTCTTGTTTATACTTTAAAGAAGAAAAAATATTTTATTCAGTTTTCAAATATTATGTATTATTTAATCTCATGTTACACGTTATGATATATGTGCTGGTAAGATTGACTAAAATACAACATCCATTAAAGTTTTTTTTAATTAAAAACAAACAGTTTCTTAAATGGAGCTTAATAAAATTTAAAACATATATAGTTAAATGTATAGAATATACAAAGCGAGCAAATGAAAACAGGGGTCACAAGAAGTAGCATGAAAAGTTTGGCAATGCTACAAGTCAGATAGGCAACTCCATGAGTTGAGAGAGTTTGTCACTGCAAGCCTTAAATCTCAAACACTTACTATGATCTTGAGAAATAACGTTTCTTAAGATTGTAGTAAATGGTTGAATTAAAAATTAGTTTAGTGAAATTAAGACATTTATCTCAAGATTGAATTATTTTATAAGTCTGTTCACATGGAAAATAATCCAGCCTTGAGTAAATGTCTTAATTTCACTAAACTAATTTTTTAATTGCACTTAAATATCTCAAACTATATAGCTTTACGTTAGCAATAACTTTTTTGTTATACATACTTCTCTGGACTACCATTTACTAAAAGATATATAAATTACCTTTTTTCAGCATTGGTGAGAAAGGATATTTTCAAATAAGCCATTGTTTTAATTTTCAATAACTTTCCTTCTTTATTTAAATTTCTATTATGAAAATTTCTGTTCTTCACAGTAAGAATTTTCAGCTATTGTAATATTTAAATAATAACAAGTTAACACTACACTTGAGAGTTAGTAATGTGTGATGAGTCATTTAAGCACCTTACAATTTACAATTTTGTTAAATTTCTCACACTACTTCTCAAAAGACCTGTTTTTATTTATTTGACAAACAGACAAAAATTGTACTGATATAATTACTATAAATAGTAAAATTTTTGAGGTGCTCTCGAAATATAAGATGATATATTTTAACTTCTGAAATACTTCAAACATACCATGAAGAAGAAAAAACAGAGAGGAAGTTTGCTTATTAAGAGCTGTCCCAAATTTTCCAGCTTTGGCTGCTAGTGCTTTTTCTAAAGATGTAAAATCAACAGACTGAAATTGAGAATATAAAAATCATAATTTTATACTTTAATACAACTTGTTAAAGTATAGCTTTGGTTTTCACTCACTTTTGTAATTATTTGAGTCGTTTTTTCTTCTGTACGGAGTTTCTTTGTTTTCGGTTCTTTACAGTCCTGTTTCATTGTAAAAGTTGCTCTTTCTCTGAAAATAAAAAAGATAAAAAGTTTTGAGAGAAAATAACAACTGAATTAAAATAAAACTGATTATAAATCAAGTTTTTATTAAAATATAATAATAGTTATATCATATTTTTGAAACAAACTGTAAAAACATTTCCATTATAAGAAATATTTGTTTTTAATAAAAATGCTTTTACAATTTTTTATTTCAGAAATCAACAGATTCAATTATTTCAGGTTATATGTATACTATCTAACTTTTAGAAAACTTGCGAATCATATACAGCATTAAAATTTAACATCAGAAACTTAAAAGTTAATCTTGCCATTACTTAACAGCATACTATTCGGTTTCATAAATAAGCATTAACAGTGGGTACATTCGTTAAGTTGTACAAGTTAAACAAATTACTAATAAGTTGATCATAAAGTATAATTCAGCTCAATATACAAACTCTATTCTAATGATATTTCAAACAAAATTCACCAAAGAATGAGTTAGTTCATATCAAGATGAAAATGGCATCTGGTGATATTGATGTTTCTAAATTCACTCAAAGGTATGAATTGTGAATTAAAAGCTAAATGACTGAAATAATCTGAGAAAAATATTTTAGATAAGACTGTACTAGCAACATCTGTAACTCAAAATTTTAGAAAGCCATTTTGCTGTAAAAAATTCATTCAAAATGTCTGGCAAAAGTAAGAATACAATGGCATCATTCTCCTTTAACTTGTTCAACTTTATAAATGTATCCAGTGTTCTACATTCCTTAGGCTATAGCATGTTAATACATATTTTCATAATGATTATCAAAGCTCAAATGATTTAATTTCAAAAAGTATTTAAATTCTGTTGACAGTATAATCAATTTTATAAGTTTTTAAACAAAAAGAATTTGAGTTTGAAGAAATTTCAGCATGTGATAGATTGTATGTTTAAATTATGAAGCTGATTTTGAATTAAGAACAGAAAGGTACTTACTCAACATAAGAATGATGATTCAAATCTAAGAAGCAATAGCCATAAAATCCCCAAACATCACCACAAAAGAATTTTTTTTCATGTTTTCTGCACAAATTATTTAATCGAATCAGAGTTTTGGTATTTGAACTAATTATACAAACTACATTATATGATAGGAAGAATTCATTATTTATATCTTCTACTGAATTAACATTAGGAGTAACCTCAACCATTGGATTTAACAACTGTAACTGCTGGCATGCAACTTCAGCTCGCTGAAAATAAATGTAAAAATAAAAAATCTATACTTTTAATAACTTTTAAATAAATATCAAACTTCATGAAAACAAAATAAATTAATTCTGAATATATAATATATTAATTTCATTAAATACTTCAAATTATAATTTATAAAAAGTTATTAATGCTTACATAATTTGACAAAAAATTTTAAATAAACAAATTTTAATACAATAAATATAAAAAACATTTAAATAAAGAACCTTTAATGCATACAGTAAATCAATAAGCATGCAATCATTAAGGTTTTTACAATTCCAAAATGCAAAATATCATTAAATCAAATTTATCACATACAGGTATCGTTCATTAAACGTGGTCTCATTTCGTGTGTTTCTGCCATAATATGATTTCAAAAGATCAAAAGAGATATTGAATTAAATCATTTGTTTACATATCTGAGCCAATCATCATGCACTCATATCTATGATTCAATTGTTATTTGTGCAGCTAGTGTTGCAAACATTCAATTTTTAATAGCTGCAGGATCCAAAGTACCACAAACAACATTTTGCCTTTTAACCCCTTCAGGGTTCTTCCTCAGGCTTCTTTCAATTCTAAACCAGCTGGATCTTCTAAAACAAACATGAATATAAAATTCAAACATAATTGAATGGAGAGATGAAGATTTCAAATAACATGTCCTTACGTGCATGCGTATCCGTGATATGTTTAAATAAAATGGAACATTAACCAACATTGCTTATAAATGACCATAATATCAAATTCGAACCTAAAATGAAAGAGTACAAGGATGAGTTTTAACAATGAGAACTTATGCGCATGCATTCCTGTGTCATCCTTAAGTAAATCCACCCCACACCAAAACACCTCAAATGGTTGGAGGCAATCAAGATTTTTAAAGCTAGCTGCAGATCTACATGCGTTAATTTCAGGGAGAAAATGTGTCTTTCTATGGCATGGCAGACTTTACTTGACAATGATATTTAACATTCAATCTTATTTAAGGATGACACGGAAATGCATGCGCATAAGTTCTTGTTGTTCGAACTCATCCTCGTACTCTTTCATTTTAGATTTGAATTTGATATTATGGTAATTTATCAGCAATGTTGGTTAATGTTCCATTTTATTTAAACATACCACGGATACTATATGCATAAGGACATGTTATCTGAAATCTTCGTCTCTCCATTCGATTACGTTTGAATTTTATATTCAACCATTTGAGGTGTTCCAGTGTGGGGTGGATTTATTTAAGGATGACACAGGAATGCATGCACATAAGTTCTCTTTGTTTTACCTCATCCTTGTACTCTTTTATTTTAGAAGATCTGGCTGGTTTAGAATTGAAAGAAGCCTGAGGAAGAACCCAGAAGGGGTTACGAAAATGTTTGATATTCAAGAGTTAATTCACACCAGTTAACGGTTGAAGTGAGTCTAATTTTATATTCATCCTAGTGTGTGCTGCAGATATGTAATCTTGAGTAAACTATCAGTTATAATTTGATTGTTGGATGGTTGAGGTAATATAAGTTCTAATCTACCATTCTAGGGAACTGGATTCAAGTCCAAATCAGCTTAAATTTTTATGAATACAGGTATGTTGACTTAGATAATTAAGCCCATTCCCTAATCACTCATCCATATATATCATGTTATCTTGATTCTAATGTGCACTTTTTTTTGGACTTCCATCTCTCCGAAACTGAGTATGCATTAGAATTGGACACAAAGTCAACTCAATGCAGCCTCGTTTGAGTCTCTTACTCTTCACTTTGCTCAGTAATTTGCATTATTACATCGTCAGTATAGATGTGGTACATGTTACTTCCACTTGTTTTAATTTTGGTTTTGGCACTCATATAGTATAATTGCTATATGGTGGTCTTTTAAATTACAGCAGGCCAAGTGAATAATATCCAACAGATAGATTGGCTATGAAAATAAGGTTAAACAAAGAGTTATCAGCTAAGATGAAAAACATATACAGATATTTCAGCATGATACTATCTATCTGGAAAATTTAATGTTGGTGCATACTGATAAAAAGTTCTTAAAATATTGGAAATTAATTGGAAAAATTCAGCCTCTAAAATTTAATATTAAATGTATTCAGTAATCAAATCTTTTTAGTATTTAAAAGAAATCATGATCTACTTCACAAATAGAATAAAATATTCACATTATCATCAAGCATATATTATATTACAATTAAAAATAAATTACAGTAGAGCGTCGATTTTCCGAAAGTCAATCATCCGAAAGAATTCCAGTCGGCGAATTTAAATTTTCGCCAGTGCTGTGCCACTTCAATCTTTGGCTATGTCTTGGGCTACTCAAATATTTTACGTTTTTGATACTAAATTAACATCTGAAGTATAATTTTTTATTATTTTTATATTTTTCAATATATTTATTTTGTTTGTACAAAATAAAAAAATAATTTTTAACGATACAATAGTCTTTGTTAGGCTTAACATCGACGAAAATTCAACG